GTCCAGGAGCAGCTGAGTTATTAATGATCAAAATCTTTCATAATTTTGTTTCAAGTTCCATTTTCGGTTTTCACAAAGTTTACCCCCAGTATAGAAATGACAGACGTAGTCCTACGTCAAAAAATCCAAGCATCAGAATCTTGAACATTTTTAAAATCCAAAATCTTCAAAACTAACTTAATAATTTTTGAAAACATTTCCAAGTTTTTTTTTTCCTGAAATTAATACTTTATTAATTTCAGGACATCTGAAGGAACGTAGAAAACATGCGCGCAGCGAGACGAACCGACGCAGAATCGCAAGTGCTGTGATCAATGTAATTGGTGATGCAGAAGGAAACAAGTCAGCTCTTTAATTATCACGACGTTCTTATGTATAATCTAGTGTGACGTAACGTTGGATCATGCGTAAGAACACCGTGAAACGAAAAAGTCGACTACATTCCTTCTGCCGCACCTATAGTAACGCGCACGGTTCCCGTGCTGACTGTTCCTTACTTTCTCACTCTAATCAAAATTTCCTTCGATGAGTGAGAAAACAGCAGCCCGTCAACGCGAGCGAGAACGCGAGTTGCCAGATCATTGCACACAAAATCAACTTTGCTAAAAAAAAAAAAAAAATACTAGCTCATCTGGTGGTTGATGGCACAAGCTTATAAGAAAATTCTTTTACAGCTTTCCACATTATTTTAATTGATTTCTTCGCCAGTTAGTCGTCTGTTACTTCGTTTGTGGTAATATCAACCGGTGGAAACTAACGATTTTAAATTGGCTCACTACTTGACTAACCTATTGGTCCCAAGCAAATCGATTAACGTATCCCATTCTAGTCAAAATTCTGGTACTACACTATGTTTGTTTTGATTCGCTATGAAAGATAGATAGATAAAATCAGGGGTTCTTGGATTTTCCTATGTTTCGAGGGGTGCATCGATTAGCTTGACCGAAGATAGTACCAGAGCTGAGCCAAAAAGTTGAGCTCGTTTCTTCGGAACCTACTAGCCTTAGAGTTACCTCTATGGTATTAGAGTTACCTCTATGTTTATACCCTTAAACAACCCAATTAACCACTTCATCCGAGCAGTTAAAATGACGTTTACTACCACTCGAACTTTGAAATAAAACATTATTTTGAATTTTTTTCTTCTAGAACCACGAGAAAAGTACCCAACATTAGTGCGTTTCATAAATAAAAAAAATAGAAATTAGTTGGTCCAGTTTTGTGAAATCGCTGGTAGAAAGTCACTGCAAAACTGCTTGATAAAGTGGTCAATTGCCGGGTTAAATGTAACTCGTAGTTAAACGTGACAGACGGAAAGTTATCGATTAATCCTGCTAACCGAGCGAGGTTATTTGTGGCAGACAAGAAGATAGGTTTTGATAACCGTACACAGCAAAAAGAAAATAATTTTAATATTACATCCAAGAGGATGCACTCCAATCATAGAGGTAACTCCTCGGGTAACTCTAAGACTAGTAATAGTAATAGCACAAACGAAGTGACAGACGGAGCGGCTCGAAAACTTTGGTGACTAACCTGCTATTGCAATTTTTCAGTGTACCACATGGCAACACCACTACCACTGGATTGTACCACATGGCAACACTACTACTAGATTGAACTCGCATTTTAACCGAATGTACTAGAATGTTTTGGTTCTATCTCTTTCACTCTACTCAAAACTGAAATGCATAAAAAAATGACAAAATGATACGCACTCTTTGCACACTGTCAAAGAATCATTGTACACAAAATCAACTTTGTTCAAATCAAAACAAAAAAACTAACCCATCTGGTGGATGATGGCACAAGCTTCCAAGAAAATTCTATTACAGTGAACCACATTATTTTAATGGATTTCTTCGCCAGTAAGTCGTCTGTCACTTCGTTTGTGGTAATAGCAACAATCAATACGAAACTAACGATTTCAAATTGGCTCACTACTTAACTAGCCTATTGGTCCCAAGCAAATCGACTAAAGTACACCATTCTAGTATAAATTCCAGTACTACACTATGTTTGTTTTGATTCGCTATGAAAGTTTGACAGATAAAATGAGGGGTTAGTGGATTTTCCTACACACTTAGAAAAAATTACCGACTTCGGTAATTCATTTACCGAATTCTCAACAGCTGAACGGTCGGTAATGTTTTCGGTAATCGAGAACATTACCGAAAAATCTGTAAACTGAATCAGCAAAATTAGCTGTCAAATTTACCGAACGATCGGTAACATTTACCGAAAAAATAAGCATGATTTGTAATCGACTTTACCGGAGAACTGTAATTTTGAAGTCGATATGGAAAATGAAATTTACCGAAAGATCTGTAGTTTTTTAAAAGGTTTTCGACTCAACTGTAATTCGCTTAAATATTGTTTCAAGATATTTTCTTGGTTTTATCAATTGAATTAAATAATTTTTCCTTATCCTTTATTTTATTTTATTCTTACGGATATGCTTTTCGTAAATCTACAAAACCCAAAACTTACTCGTAGCGCTGGCGGTCACTGCAATCCATGCAAATATTTGGCTCCAGTTGTGGTCAATGTATTAAAGTTGAAAATTGCTGCCGGTATAAAATTTCTCTTCTTATATGGTCATTGATATGTCGGTGCAGTCAAGTAACATAGCCTGGTACTTGCGACCGACAGAAAAAATCGGCCATCTGTAACAATGGGTGTTTATTTATATAACGAAATACCATTACTTACGGAAAATATCTACGATTTGCTCATCTTTATGCGTTGCAGCTGGTCCATAAAAGCCTCCATCATTTCACTTTTTGTTTTTCATAACATCTTCCACTTACACACTTTTTTTTAAAGGTCAAAAACACATTACGGCGGATTTGACGTTTCTCGCTGTGAAAGCTACCGAACTCGGTAATGGAACGCTTTGTTTACCGAAACTTCAGTAAAATATTTCACCGAAGTCAGTGATTAAACTGATTTACAGATCTGCCGGTATTTTTTTTACCGTTTTCGTTGAATTAAAATGAAATCACCGAAATTCGGTAATTTTATTTACAGTTTTCAGCAATATAGCGAGAAAATACCGAAACATCTGTAATTTTTAGGATTACCGATCTAAGACGGTAATTTTATTTACCGAACTCAGGGTCTCTGTTTAAGTGTGTATGTTTCGAGGGGTGAATCGATTAGCTTGGGACCGAATATAGTACCAGAGCTGAGCCAAAAAGTTGAGCTCGTTTCTTCGGGACCTTCTGGTCTTAGAGTTACCTCTATGGTAATAGCATAGAGATAACTCTAAGACAAGTAGGTCCCGAAGAAACGTGCTCAACTTTTTGGCTCACCTCTGGTACTATCTTCGGTCCCAAGCTTGTCGAATCACCCCTCGAAACATAGGAAAAACCAATAACCCCTCATTTTTCATAGCGAATCAAAACAAACTTTGCGTAGTACTAGAATTTCGACTAGAATAGGGTATGTTAATCGTTTGCTTGGGACCAATAGGCTACTAAAGTGGTGAGCCAATTTAAAATCGTTAGTTTCGTATTGATTGTTGGTAATAGTCTGGTAATATCTTCGGTCCCAAGCTAATCGATGCACCCCTCGAAACATAGGACAATCCACGAACCCCTCATTTTATCTGTCAAACTTTCATAGCGAATCAAAACAAACATTGTGTATTACTAGAATGGGGTAGGTTAATCGATTTGCTTGGGACTAATAGGCTAGTCAAGCAATGAGCCAATTTAAAATCGTTAATTTCCACCGGTTGCTTCAATCATGTCGAAAATCTCATGTAATTTTTATGGCCACAAAAATAAACAAATGCAGTAAAAGCAGCGTCAGTTCATGCACTGTATTAATGATAATTTTGTCCTTTTTGGCAAGTAATATTACACCATATTTTCGACACAATTGAAGTGCATTCACTTTAATGTGATAATAAAATTAATGTTTTGCTGTGTAGCTGAGCTCTGCTCGAAAAACGGTCGATCTAAGGTCAGCCAGGGACTAGGCCAGGGATTTTTGAAATGCTACTTTCAACAACGAATTAAATATAAATCGGCAATTGATTCACGGCTCGAATGTAAATCTCAAAGTTTGTTCATCATAAGGGAACGCGTATCTAAGGCTAAGTGACTATGCAAAACGTATGTTCGACCGTAATAACTCGTTCAATAGACATTATTTGATAAGATAATAACACAATCACCGACAGTTGTTGTCAAATTAGCAACAAACAATGTCTTGCAAATTCGTTCATAACACTCTATTTTTACACGTTTTTCAATTCGGGTCTACGTAGCTTCTGTTTCTGTAAGTTATACTGCTTTTGACGCTTCTTCTTCTAGAGTTTTTACGATTCTTTTGGGAGCGTTTTGCCGTGTCCGAGGCCGGTTCGCAACTTAGTGTTGCATTTTCACAGTTATTAATTAACCACTTCATTCGAGCAGTTAAAATGACGTTTACTACCACTCGAACTTTGAAATAAAACATTATTTTGATATTTTTTGCTTCTAGAACCACGAGAAAGTAGCCATCATTTGTGCGTTCCATAAAAAAAATAAAAATTAGTTGGTCCAGTTTTGTGGAATCGCTGGTAGAAAGTCACGCCAAAACTGCTTGACAAAGTGGTCAATCGAGAGATTTCTATGCCAGCGAATGCCGTCATAATAATCTGCCGCAGGATGCTAATCTTTCTCTAAATTGACAATATTGTATTGTCACATTCTGTGGATTTGATAGGGTTTTTGCACAACAATTCATGTGGCCTTTTTTTTCGAAACGCGCGACCACACCTAATGAAAGGCCGAATTGTTATTCCTTATAAGGTTCGATGTCAATACGTATTAATACTATTTTTTGCAAATCTCCCATAAAACATTGAAAGCTGCATAGTTGCCATTCTTGGTTGGACTAAATAATAGTTGGAAAGCGTATATGTTTGTGACTTTCTTTCATTCCACTTCGGAAAAACCAACAACTTGTATTTTTCACATAAGAAATGCATTACTGTTTAAGCTGCAGACAGCACATTTACTTCAATATTGTCTGATATTCTTCAATGACATATTTGATCTTTCGAATGGCCAAATCCACATCTTCGTCCGTCAGGTTGGTATAGACAACAATCCGTGAAAATGCCCAATCACGTGCGCTGAGTTTGACGCTGATGCCCATTCCAGCAGCATCCGTGACGCCATCTGCGATCTCCTTAGGAGTAACTTCTCCCAGTCGCTTAGTAAAATCACACGATTTTATTTTACCAGTCAGTATCTGCACCATCAGAATATTGGTGTGTAGATTTTTCAGATCAACCGCGAACAGCGGACTATTCATGGCGTGAATAGCTTCAGCGATTCTTCTCGTGCGGTCATGGTCCAAATTCAGCTTGGGTACAATTTCATCCAAAGCAACCAATCCTGCCGCTGCCAGGAATCCTACCTGACGCATACCACCTCCGAGGGCCTTCCGCAGACGGTGGGCTCTGTAGAGTGTGGATAATTTTCAATTGAGCTGATTTGGAAATTACCGTCAAGTGCCATAATTCTGTGAATCTAAGGCCTACTTCCGCGCAGTTTAAACAATTTCTACAATAATTTTAAATTTTATATAATTTGAATTCAATTGTACATCATGGTAGCACTTATATAAACGAAGAATATATATTTAGATAAAATGGTAATATACTGTATAATTTTGGTGAAATGCGTGGAATTAGGCGCTGCGCAGAATTATGGCACTTTGCGGTACTTAATCTGTTTTTAGAAATAAAACTGCATATCTGTTTTGAATATATGTAAATGGACAATCTATATTAAAAATCTGTATGAACTGATGACCTAAAACTTCATCACTTTGTGATGTAAACACAAGCTTACGAAAACTAAGCTGTTTCATATTTTACTTTTTAGAGAACATACCTATTGTCAATTCAAAGGAAAAATAAGCATTGCAAATGACATAATGCTATCCATACTGCAGGATGCTAATTTTCCTCTGATTTGACAATAATTTACAAACACTCCGTATTTGAACCATGACTGGAAACATGTATTCAACAATCAGGAAGGTTTACTGTACCCCTAGCGAGCGACATCCACTAAATACTTTGAATTCACATTATATTGGTATGCCAAAAATGGCATAATTTGATAAATAATTTGATAAATTTTGATAAATAGCTAGACAATATTATTAAAAAAAACTTTAACCTAGTGTACGTTAAATATAGTGGTAGATCATGAAAACAATATAGTACCCGTTCGATTTTGGCAACAAGCCCGAAAAAAATAGTGTTCCCAAAACCGAACCGTGCCCAAATCGAACGGGTGTCGTATTGGCAATGTACACACTAAAAAATTTCATGGCAAATTAATATTTATATCGCTATATATTCCTAATCAACTCAGAAAATAATTTTCATTTTTGTAGTTTAGCTAATAATCTGTACATTTAGAGTGATGCAAAATTTGAAATTTTCACTCCACAATACTTAAACGATTTCAAATCAGATCCTGACTAACCTCTCAAAATTTGAACCCATTTGGTTAGAAACTGAGATGGCACAAACCATTTGAAGTTTGCATGGGAATTACTATGGGAAAACCAAGATTTTTGTTCATGTCGATCTAATAATTCACCATATCGTTCTGCTTCAAAAACTTTCATTTGTACTTGTAGGAAATTTTTCCAGCTACAACTTTGCTCAAGACCACTTTTTGATTAAATGCAAGGATCGAAAGTTATCAATGGTTCAATGCGCTGATGTCTTATGATCATGCTCAATCAACTGCTCAGCAGGCAACATTGGTGTTTATGGGGGCGTTGAATAGGACACAAAAATCATGGCTACTATGTGACACTGCAAAATACAGTGTTGCCTACAGAGCAGCTGCTTGATCATGTCATAAGTTTACCAATCTCTTAAATAATTAATAACTTTTTCCTGTCTCGTTTTATATAGAAACGATCTTCAGCAAAGTTGTAGCTGAGAAAATTTTCTATAATAATAGTTATCGAACTGTTTCGCAGCTCAATATGGAAAAAGACAAGATGGTAATGAACAAAAAGTTGAGATTTCCCATAGTAATTTACATGTAAACTTCAAATAGCTTGTGCGAAGTCTGTTTCTAACCAAATGAGTTGTAACTTTGGGAGACTTATCAGGACCCGATTTGAAACCATTTAAGCACTGTGGAGCGAAAAATTCAAATTTTGCAGAGTTGGTTGGAAATGCTAACATGAAGCTTTAGTGTGATGATTTATTAGCTAGAGAATGATCTTTAGAAGAGGGTAGGTGGATAGTTCCGTTAGAGTACGGCAGTATGAAAATTGAATAGAAGTTGAAAATGAGCGAAGGGCCATTAAAGCGACAGTTTTCAAGATAGACGCACATTTTTGCCTGTGGACTTGGAGACATACTTCAAGTCCCCGCGTACATCGTACGGGTTAGGCAAAAATGTGCGTCTATCTTTAAAAACTGTCGCATTAATGGCCCTTCGCTCATTTTCAACTTCTATTCAATTTTCATACTGCCGTACTCTAACGGAACTATCCACCTACCCTCTTCTAAAGATCATTCTCTAGCTAATAAATCATCACACTAAAGCTTCATGTTAGCATTTCCAACCAACTCTGAAAATCGTTAACTTTGCGTATGAAGTAACATAAAAAACACTTTGAATCAAATTTTGCATCAGTCTACTGTACATCTCTGTGTAGATTCTTGGTCAAGAAATGATCAAGAAAATCTGTAAAATAAACAATAATCTCTATACGTGGCAACCCTGCCCAGCTTCCTTTTTAAAATAATGACCTGGTGAAAATTTCATGACTTACTGTTTGATGAAGTCCTTGGATCCGACCAGGACTGATCCTACGGGACAGGCCAGACCTTTGCTAAGACAGAAGCAAACCGAGTCTACGTCCCGAACAACACGCGATACTGGAATATTCAAGTAGTTCGCGGCGTTGAAAACGCGTGCTCCATCCATGTGAATTTTGACAGACTGTTCCTTGCAAATTTTGGCAAGATCTTCCATCCATTGCAGTGGAATCACTTTTCCTCCACATATGTTGTGAGTATTTTCAACCAGCACCAATTCTGTTTTCGGTTCATGAACATCGAATCCGCGAAATTTCCTTCGCAGTTCGTCCAGACAGAACGTACCATCCGGTTGGTTCTTGATGTTGTTCAACGAAACACCGGCAAGTTGAGCCGATCCGCCTTGCTCATACAGAAACACATGAGCCATGTCTCCGACGATCGCCTCAGAACCTCTCCTGTTGCAGTGGACCATCACTAGAATTTGTAAATTCATCCACTGATAAGATAATGACATTAAAAGAGGTTCTACTCACCAGCCAACAAATTGCCCATCGTACCGCTTGGCACAAACAGGGCCGCCTCTTTACCGAACAATTCGGCCGATCGACGTTCTAGTTCATTCACCGTTGGGTCCTCACCGTAGACGTCATCTCCAACGGCCGCTTCGAAGATTGCTTTACGCATGTTGGCCGTCGGAACGCTTATTGTGTCCGATCGGAGGTCCACGACACGAACCGGTGAAGAAGCTTCCGTTGTTCCATTGGTTGAATACATTTTGGTTTAAAATTTGAAAATTATAGTCTGTCAAAGATTCACTTCTGAGCGAGCACGTCCTACCGCGAGCGAAGGTTGTTATCAACTGAAAAGAGACTATTTGCAAAATACTACTTCAGAGATGCGAACATATTATGTACCGTAAGACGGGGTGACATTAGGCCAAAATTGAAAAATGTTTATTAATGCAAACCCTAATAAAAATAACCATTAAAGAGAGCTTAACGACGTGTTCGGGGTATCATCCAAACCATTTGTGGGATAGTTTACTCATCCGGGATACAGTTCGTTTACGGTATTTATTTATTAGGGAATATCTTGAATATAAAAAAAAATACTAGAATGTGTTTCTTGAACTCCTGGAGTCAAGTGTTGACACTATCCAGTTGATTTATTTATATAGTTAGTAAAAAAGTGTCATATATAGTATTAAAAACCTGGAGGTGCGACACATCTAAATCTAAATTTGTGATGGTCGATAAATATAATATATTTTTAATCTCTTGCATCGAAATCCATGTACTCGCATCGATTTCCACCTTTTTGAAAGAAATCTTTAAAATCTTCATCAATCCTCTTTCTATCTACTAAGCGTACGCGCATCTCACAACAAAAAAAATTATGCATCTTAGATAGACTCATCACCCCCCTCGGCAAAAACACGTTTTTAAAAATGTCCACAGGCGAGAAAAAGTTTGAACACACTTTTATGTGGATAGACAAGAGTTACTAGTGATCTTTAGCCATATATATGAAGTACATTGTGATCATAACCAAGTCAACTCCTAATAGCTACGTCACATTTACTTATTTTAAGATCTTTTAACCAAATTTATGTTTTGGCCCAATGTCACCTCCATTGGTCTATTTTTTATTTAATTTTAGTAAAATGAGATATCATTTTCAATCAACAATTTTCATGAAAGTCGTATATATATTCGCATGCTAAAAATTGTTTTCCTTGTTAAAATGTGAATGTTGTAAGGCATGGAACGAAACAATTTGATTGTTTGGTCCAATGTCACCCCCACTTACGGCATCTACACGTGCTTCTCGTATTGCATGTAGTATTGTACCTCGGATGTTGTATATTGTTATTTGCTGTGAATTTGTGAACCTGTGAGAGTGTTTGAAAGATCAAGCAGTGTTATTTGATATTGACAAAAATGTTCTATTTAAATTCGCAAATCATGACTTGTGTTGGTTGTGTTTGAATACTGGTTTTCGGAAACGAAGCTGTTATATCATCTTTGTGTACATCGCTTGTGCGCATGTGCGTAGATAAGCCGCAAAAAGTACGATGTCACGTACATTTCATTCTGATTGCCAACAAACACATCCGCCTAAAGTCAAATTTGCTTGAAAATGGATGTGTAGATGTTGTACCTAGTAGAAAATATGCAAAAATATGAGACCACTGTTCGTTTAACGAATCTCAACTTTGAAAAAAAAATACATAGGGGAAATGCAGGTAATGTCGGCCTAAGTGTCTCTAATTTGGGCCCATACATAAATGCAGCAATCGACTAAATTTTCAATAGAAACCAAAAATATCCATTAGTAACGTCCCAATAACGCGTTCATCTAGATAAAATTGATAAATAGCAGCTTTTTAGCGATGGGCCCAATCTTAGAGCCATAGGCCAACATTAGAGACATTTCCCCTAATTCATTTGATACAGCTCGTGAAACTTGACTCAATGACTCCATTTAGGGCTCCAATCAAAATCTGTTCCTCATCGTAATCGACGCGAGCATGGCAGCCTATCACGATGGAGCATCGCAACGACTTCGATTAGCATATGCTTATATATAACTGCGTTCTGATATGCTCAACGATCTAGCCCAGTGGTGCTAATCCAATCCAGAATGATTGCAGTCTGTGGAATGAATGAAACTTTTATCAAATTAAGATTTCCTTGAATTTCATGTCAGAGTTCTTTTGGTACTCATTTTGAAACTTCTAATTTTTTAGCCTTTGAGTTATTTTCGGAATTCCGTCTTCAGTTTTCAGAATTCCTCTCTAATTTTCCATAAAATGGCGTTATAATTTGCCTCCGTTGGACTTTTCCCAAAATCCCGTTATACATATTTTTTAATTCTGTTGAATTCTCCTCAATACTCCCTTGACACCATCCATGAAATTTAACTCAACTACTGCTAAATAATCTCTCAATCTCTCCTTGACGCTGACAAAAATATTAAATTTTTCTTAAGATTCCATTGGAATTGAATCAACTTAAGTTACACATTCCTATTCTTTTCACAATTCGTTTGAAATTAATGTCAGAACTCCTAAAACAGTTCTTGTCAGTTGCATCGGTACTCTTGTCTGAATTTATTTGGAGTTGTGGATATTTTTTGGAATTATACTCTGAATTCTCTTTGAGTTCTTGCAGAGATTCTTTGGACATTTCCTCAGAATTGCCGAAGTATTTTCCTGAAGCTTTTCTCTCAAAGCCTATCAATTTCTTTTCAGAATTACTTTCTAGTCTCTTCGGAAGAATACTTTCCAGAATTCCTTAGGAGTTCTCTTCAGAATAACCTTTGGATTATGTCAATTTTCATCGAAATTTCCATTTCTTTTTTTCCTAGTGTAGATCCATCCAAGTTCAAGACAGATTTCAAGTTTTATTTTTAAGCTGAAGGTTTCACTTTCCAAAATTCAACCGTGGCATTCAGCATAGCAGCCTTCGGGTAATTTTCATGATTCTTTAGCTCGGAAAACTTTTTAATGAGGCCTTGGAAAACTTTCAAGATATCCAACTTCGAAATATTAACTTAATATTAGAGCTCATAAAATCTGTTACAGTTTTAAAGAAACAATATTTTTAATGATTCGTGATCTACATTTTTTTCAAGTTTTAAAATTTAATTTTTGTATTGATGCAATGAATTATGAGGAAAGTCGCTACATAAAAATCTTTAATTACACCTTTTGCTTATCTCCCTTGTTTGTTTTCATCATCTCCTTACTACGGTGCTGAGGGAAACTTGCAATACGCCCCGCCATATGCTTTCAGTTGAGCACCACTGATCTAGCCGAGCGCTCATTTGTGGTGGGGCTCACCTCACCATCAACGTGCACTGCAAAAAGTTTTCACTTAGGTTCTATTATGAACACACATAATATTTTTCTAATTACAAAGTTTTTATCTGAATATCACATAACATAGGAAATTCTATGTGAGTAAGTGAGTGACTTACATATCGACGAAGAGGAAACTGCAAGCGCTCTTTGAGATTCGTACAATTTGAATCGGAACGTAATAGACATGAATGATTTTGGTATTGTTTATTGACAAAATTGAAAAATATTTAAAGTACATAAACCATTCAGTCAAGGGTCTCTCCCCTTGGCTAGTTTTTGCACCTTGCTGTTGGTGGGCGGGCTTAATTTCATGCTTTGTAGTGGAGTGTTGGAGACGGTAGGTTTATGGCCGACGCTGCTGGCTCATGCCGCGATAGAATGGCGCTATGGGCAGGCAATGGGTATAACTAGGCTTCCCCTCTCTGATAAACCACTGCATGGGAGAACCAAAGATCTAGTCTAGCAGTGATAGTATCACACTTGTTACTATTTTGTTTGAGAGCCGCGTCGTAGTACGCTTACGTATAGGCACTGACGTTGGGTATACTGGCAGGTTTTGCCGCAAATCACTCTTATTTTTTTTACGCAGATAGATATATAGATAGATAGGGCTCCTTCTACTTGCGTGACAAGCATTCATTGTTGTTTTCATTGAGGTATTAACATACAGGTAACTCTAAGACTAAAAGGTCCCGAAATAACGTGCTCAACTTTTTGGCTCAGCTCTGGTACTATCTTCGGTCCCAAGCTAATCGATTCTCCCCTCGAAACATAGGAAAATCCACTAACCCCTCATTTTATCCGTCAAACTTTCATAGCGAATCAAAAAAAACCTTGTGTAGTACTAGAATTTTAACTAGAATGGGGTACGTTAATCGATTTGCTTGGGACCAATAGGCTAGTCAAGTAGTGAGCCAATTTAAAATCGATAGTTTCGTATTGATTGTTGGTATTACTCAGGGAACAATGTTAAACACCATTTTTGTACATGGTATTGTATTTAACTAATCTTATATGTGCTTCATTTTGATTTGGGATAAGTTTTTGAACTATGGCTCGGGATTTCCACTGTGGCGTGCTTCTATTGTGACATATCCATACGTAATTTTGTGGGACGACATAGTGGAAACGTGTGAGCGTAGTTGGAGCATATACGCTATATAATTTAAAAATCAGCTAGGAAACTAACATCAAAGTGAAGCATTTTAGTCACTTGAAGGTGTCACTTGGGTCGAACTAATATATAATAAATATATATAGGTCAGAATCAAAAGTACTTGAAACACGTTTAATTTTAGATTACAAGCACAAGTGCAGGCACTTAATAAAGCATGGGTTATGATTGATTAGGTGAAATAGAGATTTCAATAATTTATTAAATTAGACTAATGAGATATCATCATCAAACGAACTTAAATAAGAAAATTCAGAAAGTCTAATAACATTAGGTAGATTAACAAAAGAATTAGGTTGCGGGTGGTCCGCTTAGGGAGGCAACTAACCTTTAAAGTTGTGGAAGGAAGATTTACCTATTTAGTCTTGAACTTCAAAACAATAGCATTTAGCAAATTAACAAGGAGAGGAATAGTTTAGGAAATAAGTAAAAGTAGAGGTATGTGACAATCGATAACTTTTAATCTTTTGTAGGTATTGTTTCCCCCTGAGTTTATTGTACTCGATAACTATGTTATTCTCTCAATACGCAAAATCTCTGATATATGCGGTTAAAACATTTGAGTTAACTTATTTCTTAGTGTTCAAGTACTTACATTTGTAAGCAGCAGTCAATGTTAATCTATGAACTAAACCCTATCTGACTGTAAAATCGATATTTTCTTATGTGGTATTGACGCATCGATGCATGTTTAACTTTTCGCGGCTGTCGGATTTAACGTGCCTACGTCTACGGAGCTTACGCAGAAGTGATTCGCAATTCTATAGAGCTTGCCAAAAGTGTTTTGTTCTTATGTAGTTTAGAATTTGTTCGGTACGGTCG